TTAAGTACATTTGTAATGAAGGTCCATTAAGTATAACACAATCTGATAAGCACTTAACTTTAAGTATCTGTAAACGTATTTTCCTATAAAGTTATCTTCATTAATTAATCCATAAATCAGCGTCAGTTCAGGCGTGTGTGCGAGTATTTGTAGGTCACCTTATGTCTGCCCAGTTAACAATTTCAGGCAATCTCAAACGTCTGGGATTCACGATTATCTTCTGATTTTGTATTTTGAACAAGCAAATTTCATGCTATTTCTGTCAAAATAAATTTATACCTCCGATGAATTAACATCAAAGCCAGTGTGATATGCTTAAGGCGGGGACGAGGGTTTTGAAAATATACTATGTTGCAGGCTTACACTTTTCCATTCTTCTTGATACGTAACAGATTTCTGCATGTAATTTTCTAAGCATTGTAACAATTAATGCATTGAAATGTTAATGGGTAATTAGAAGTGTGAAAATGGAATACTAATACAGCGTTTCGGAAACCATCTCTGCTTCTGTCATCAGGGTTGACTTAAGCAGTTTCGAGTGGTCTAAGTAAAATAATATAATCTTTTTAGATATATAGTTTATATCTTACTAGACAAAGCGTTGATGAAAGAGTAATGAAGAAATGAGTGGAGATGATGAACAGACAAGCAGAAAGAGATAAAGACAAATATGGCAAATTGGTTATCGTAGAAAGGAGCAAAATTGTAAGAGATGACAACAGAGAAAAATGATTAAAACAAGGGTAGACGTAGCGAGGAAATAAAGATGGAGGTACTGTGGTAATTAGGTTTATGACGTCAAGATAAACCTCAGCGTTGAGTATGTTCGCTGTAACAAGAAGTAAAATTGCGTCAGTTCAGTCAGCCAAACTGTGGCCTGACAAATTACACCACAACCTGTCATTAACACAAGCTACTAAAAGAAAAACGTAATTCAATAACGGCCAAGCTAGGCGTTTCTTTCTCTTTCGTACTTGCTGTCTGTGTCTTATGGCGAGAAGTGTTTTAGGCTCGTACCGAAGACGTGCTGACGTCACACAGACTTGGTCGAGAAAACATCTGATGATGTATTACAGGGGTAGATACTTGTTTTCACATGATCACACCCCACACCCTCCAAGTATTTCTTTTATCCCCCACCCCTGTAACTAACCCATGGTTATAAGAACTGAGTCGACGGAAATTCGACAAGTTGAAGCGGATTCGACGCGCCAACATCAAAGTGAACTAACCAATGAGCTCTGACCTAGCAACTTGGCATAAGCGGCGCGTTAGACGAATCCGCGTTGAGCGAACTTGATACTGTATGGAATTTAAGGGGATGTGGAAACGCGTCCATAGAAACTAAAAAATCATAATATTATCTAATAATATTTATTCAGAAACTGTTTAATATAAAAAAATCATCTCCAGAGACAGTATTAAAGAATAAAATTTAAAAAATTGACGTGGTAACAGTATAAACGGGGCTCAGACCACGGGTTACATGCAATTTGAAGAGACGAAGAGAGGTTAAGAGACGTGAGAGTAAGAATTTATAGGATGACAATTGATTATTTAAAGATGTCTGTGTCCTGGGTGCTAGCGCCGTGTACTCTGGTAGAAGTTTACCAACGACTCATCACCCTGATGATGAAGGCAGCAAGGACGTCCGAAACGTTGGAAAACTTATACCACGGAGCTACAACCCAGAAGACATCAATCCTCGCACTGACCGTCGTGAGAACTTGACATCATACTAACTGAATGTTTGTTTGCGGACTGTTTACAAACACGGACGAAAGTCGTTTACAAACTGTTTGTCAACAACACTGCCGACAATGTTTGTAGGATAATACGAACCTTTAAAGGAAATAAATCAATTAATAAACGCGAAGAATCAGATAGGACTTGATATCCGCTCAGAATATGTCGAGTTCCGTGCTGTATTGTTTCAGAGTATGTTCTGTTAGACATAAAAGTTTTCCCTATATGTTGTGGTCTTTTGTAAGTCCAGTTAGGAGCCTATAGCCACTAATACCCTGTTGTATATTCAAATACATCCCAGTCCATTAGCCCAATCTTCCGTCCGAGCTGGGCGATTAAAGTTGTTTGGTAGTGGTTGTGCTTAGAACGGGGCAGGGCGGAAGGGAAACTTGTCTGGGTTGGGGCCATGAATAGTACATTTCTGCCAACGCTTCCTTGCCAGACAGCCCCGGTTCAACAGTTTACCAGGATTGGTTTAGGGATTGATGCGAAATAAATGTTCCACTGGTCCTAAGCCATTGCCCTTGCATGACTGATGACGATTCATCCGTTTAAAGAGATAACAAAAAAATACGAGAGAGAACTACATCGCAAACACATCATACTATTGCTTAAACGATAGTAAATTTGTACCGGCATAATTTTGTGGTTAAGATTGTTTCTTGGTCTTCAACATGTCTGATGTCCAATAACCTGCGCCGTTTCAAGTTACTGAATTATTTATTTATGAAATATGTGACGTTTACACGGCTATGTCAATATATCCACCTGATGCTCTGTGACGTGTCTAGCCTTCTAGTTATCTAACAACGTTTAAGAGATTTACTATCTCAATCTACAAGTATTTCAACCATGAAGATGACGACTGTATTTGCCTCCGAAACATATATTTATATAAATTCATATGAATTCACTCGGCATAACAACATCTTCACCACCGTGTTTAAAATCTCACTTAGCAAATGTAAACCAGATTTTTTGTCATTTTACTGATTCTTTATTTTCGTTATAATCTTAAATATTTTTGGCGTATAAGACTTTATTTTATTTTACTTTTATTCTATAAGGCAAAGAAATTTGCTAGTAAACACATATCGAAATTCTAAAAAAAAGAGTTTCCTACATGAGAGCCTTTATAGTTTTCTTCAGTTGTTCCAGGCAAATGTTGGGATAGTGCCAGATTGGTCCACAGCATTTCCCTTCCTTATAATCTCAGTTTCATTAATCGTCCTATCATTCTGAGCTACTGACAGCGTTGCTAAATTAACCACAAATAAAAAAACAAAGGCAAGTTCCAGATGTAGGTTGAATTTATTGTATTCTGTAGTTTCTATAACAAATTTTAATAATTCATAAAGGCGGAATGTTAGAAGCAAACTGAAGTGTGTAGTGGATTAAATTTTTGTACGTATAATAGAAATAACTGTATGCTTATTACTTACGTATTACTTATAAACTGTGGATAGTCCATTTATTTTACTCCAGTTAGACTTTAATTACCAACATCCTTCGTCTGCGATGATGAAAGCAAGACGAGATGAAGTCCTTAAACTAATTTTAACATCGTTATTCATCTATAGCTACCACACACTTATTGTTGAATAATTATCTACGTTCAACACACGAGTGTCTGATGCATTCATTTTACATGACCACGAGACCGTGACGTTACAAAGAAAATTCCGGATAATAGAATCCTAGAAGTCCACACGTGCAATTGTGTGACAAAACAGCGCACGTGTATTTTACTTAGAATAAGTTTCGTAACGAACATATAACCTTTAAGTCTACTTACTTAAAATACTTTACCCTTTAGAATTATATTAATTATAATACAACATTTCAACAAATATTCATTCTGAAACATTTAAATTTTGATCTATCTCAGCATTTGCTTAAAGACAGAGGAAAACCAAGAAACCTGTGTCGAGATGGATGCATAATAACGACTATCCAGGAGTCCGCTACATAAAAGAATATATTAATCTCATAGATTTCCCTAACTTGTGAGCCATGGGCTTTATTGATAATTTCAATACAAGGTGTTTGATATAATCCTTTATGTGTTATCAACAGATATACTAAAACATTACTTTAACCTGTTGGAGAAGCTTCGTAGTCTGAAAATTATTTAAAATCCAGTCCGTACCGCAAATAAAACACCACTTCGCCATTACAAAGACCAGTAAGAAAATATTCCTTATGGAAATAATCGCTTTTTACTGTGATATCCATAAGAAATACATTAATACATTCTGTGAACAAAATACATAGATGTTGGTTATCAAAGCTCCTATTCCATTTATTTATCACTGGGGTTTAAATCGGTTAAGTACGTCAGTCTTAAGATACAGTGGACTGTCACGCAGAAGTAAATACGATAACTGAAAGTGGGGCTTAGTCTGAATTAGAAAGTGAAACAATTGTATTTTCGTTGTTTAACTGAAACAAAACGAGGTTGTGATGTCAGCTTGTCTTGTCATTGTTTTAACTTTACTCTGTTGAATAGAACCATGTTTGAAATTCTAACTTTCAATGGGTAATACAAAACAGATTTTACACAGACGTAAATGGGAACAGAGGAAATCGGATTGGAGACTTCTCTCATTTTATTCGGGAACTGTGGCGTGTTATGTCATGGTTTTTGGTACATCACGCATTTCCGAGAAATACTAAAACCGAATCTACATTTGAAAACATTTAATTCTGTTATTAATATAAACTGTTACAATCTCTGTACGTTCGTTAACATTAAGGGGCAAATTGAGAGGCGATGTTAACTGAGGTTTAGAGTGCTCACTCTGAATATTTGTTGTAAATTTATCAATAAAGTCCTTATGTAAGTACGATACCCGCCTCTTCGCTTATTATTCTTATCGTTTTAATATTTAAGTAACGATAAAGCAGTTACCGTTTAGAATCGGACAGATGTTCATATGAAATTTCTGACTGGAATTTACCCCACGCATAACAACTCTCTTCGACATTAACTATACATATATAAGCCTACATATAAACTATTTTAGAATCTTTAGTTTTCTCTATTTCTCCGTCTATGATCTGGTTTATAAGCGGTCATATCAGAAATTGTACACACATATTTTATTCGTTATTAAATACACAAATTAATTTAATATGTCTGCGTATCGAATAAAATAAGTCACATATTTTTTTCAAGCATTGTTAAATTTTAATTATATCTTTAATTTTTTCAAGAACTTCTGAACTACTTCGTACAAGAACGTTTTACTTACCATGAATCGAAGATCCGACTGTGAGGTAGCAGATGGATCTCAGGCATATGGGCGACACACCAAAACTTACACCGTTTTAAGACTGGAGATTCGCGGGCTTCCATTTAACTGAGCATTTATCTTAACGAACACACGTGCTATTTCTTCCGACTTCACTTTGTCATACTCAACTACCGGGTCTACAATTTATGCTGTAACGGCCTTGCTTGCATTGCGTGCTCGGCCGAGTGCACTGTTGACGTCGGCAGGCTGGCGCGTGTTATTCCCGTGAGTCACAGGCGAATCAGTTTCGGTGCCGCTAGTAACAGCGAACTACGAATATTTCTCGTCACTAACACATGTTATTACATTAATTTTCTTACCTTAAATCACAAAAGATGTTCAAAGTGACTTCCTTGTGCTTGCAGGCAAGCTTCACATCTCGTTAACATGTTTCGAAATACTTGACGAAGCTCTTCTTGGGAAATTGCCGAAATGAATTGTGGTTTCCTGTTCTTCTTTTTATCCAAAACTGATCCCGTACTACAAATTTTTTTTATTAATCTCTCTATCGTGGGCCTGCTAGGAACACTTTCACCGGGAAAATGTCTGCGATATTTACGGCGGCATCTTCCGTAGGATGAATATTTGGCATATGTTTCGACTAAGAACACACGTTGCTTAATACTGTACACCATATTATCAACGTCAATCCGCGACGAGAGACGCAATGAAACTGATTCGCCTGTGTTCACGGGAAGAACACGGACCAGTCCGGCCGACGTCACCAGATCGCCAGCCGACCACGCAACGCAAGCAAGGCCGTTACAGCATAAATTGTAGACCCGGTAAATGGCTTTTGGTAAAAGCGGTTACCAGACGATGTCGTATAGTATTAAAAATAAATAAAAACAAATCTAAAGTAAAGCAAACAATAAAAACTATAAATTATGTTAAACCGTTACAGCTTGCACGAAGGACGAATTTCAACTGAAATAAAATACCCAGTCTGAGAAACAAGTAATGGTAGTTGATCCGGGCACATAAGTAGAAGGTTATAACTGTTTCGCAGTCAAATCTCCCCTTTAGAAATTACACTGGCCTCACTCTGTCCCATTTGTACGCGAATCGTCTGAAGTAGTTTACTTACTAAAAGGAAATGAAGTAATTTTTGTCATCAAAATAACTATTACATGCATTCTACTATATAGAACTAGTAATAAAGACGATACGAATGTTAAATATTTAAGTTATCTGAAAAATCGATGTTGATCTTGCATGCGAATTAGTTTACACTTTGCGGTCCGGGTGTCCGTAAGAAAGAGTGAAAGTGGTCCCATAGTTGGGAAAGGATAAGACCCCTGTTCTAAGCCCTAATTTGAATAAACAATATGATTGTTTGGATAACACCGTATAAATAATTTCACCGTCATAGAACACTAAATAAAATACCAAGACAAATCCACGCCATGATGGAAAATTTTTATCAGCGATCCTAAAAGGTGAGATTCAAATTTCTAATTGTGTTTGTACTTATTACTCACTATAATTGAGTATTTATTACACCTAAATCTATGGACTTTGGTTTTCTGTCCTGAAACGTGTGGTCTTGTAGATAGTTACCAACATCTCGGAGAAACATGTTTCCTCCGTGATTACGAACTGCGTTACAACCCAGAAGACCAACATCAACATTTTTACCTTCGTGACAACTGACTGTAAAATATTTTCAGTCGAAATTATTTTGAAACGTGTATGTTAATAAGAAAATATTACATAAAACCCCAGATAACGTCACTGAACTTAATAGGATAGTAATTAAAATTCTGCTTTATATTCAAGAGGCATCGTTTTCGATTCTAGGGTGGGACACAGATTATTCTGAACGTTTCTACGTTTCTACCAAGTTTTCTGCAGATGACTGCATTTTTCTTTAATATTTCATAATGCAGCGGTTTTAGACGAAGAGAAAAGCCTGTAGGAATTGAGGTTTTAAAGGTGGTGAGTCCGAAGATGGGTTGTTGCGCTGTGCAGTCTGGTAGAAATTTACCGACGTTTCGGAGATCTTTGTTGCTTTCATTATCAGGGAGATAATTTGATATCAATAATTAAATTTGTCTCATTGCTGTATCTTCTTATAATGTATTATACTTTTATTATCTCGGAAGAAATGGCTGTAAATTGGAGTATATTACAATGTATATTAGTGGAACGTTTGGGTGGCGTTCATCTAGCTCATGACAGAGGAATATGATGGAATTTCCTGAAATTTGTAATGAAGTACGGGAGATTTCTTGCGTAGCTGAACGTACATACGTCAGTTTCTAAAGGAGCGTGCTCTGTGGACTTCGTTAATTATGTATGACGAAATCTGCTTCAAATCACGTACCACAAAAGGCGTGATTGAATCACAGATCGAAGAACCGAGGTAGATTCAGACATTAAGTTTCCGTGAAATTAATATCAACAATTTTAATGTATCAGTGAAACTGTATTTGATAAAGCTTTAATACATCGATGTATCACAGACCCGAGAGAAAAATATGGCCATGTACCATACTGAATCCATTAATTTACTGATCAATGCGTTCACCAGGAAATGAATATGATATTAATATCCTGTTACCACGACTACAATGGTGCATTCAAACAATGAAGGTGGGTGTTGCCTTTATTTTAACTCATATTGCGTATTATACGAGCAGTAATTAAACAAGGTTCTAGCGTCACTTGTTCCGAAGGAAGGGAATTGTCAGTGAACGCGGGAGATTGGCTATTTTAATACAGAATAAAAGTTTTAAGACTGGGATGTCGCCCCCGTGATAGAAGGGGAAAGTTTCCTAAACGTCGGCATCTTATTCCGTATTGAACAGCTGATCGATCAATCGAAATTTTCCACAGCCAGCGTTAAATGGATTCTTAATCCTGACATTCTTAGAATATTTTCGCAAATAAAAAACTACAAACTGAACGCAATTAATAAAATAAATACAATTCAGAGAACAGAAAATATAAATTTGTGCATTGTGAAGTAAATTAAAAACGACATTTGTAGAGAGATGATTGTATTTATACTGTGGTGAATCGACTAAAGTTTTTATTCCCTTCTCTCTTTAATTCGCCGTCCGAAACCGCACCGAAAGCGGACGGGAATCAACGAAACTTTGACGCCGCAAAGAAATTTCGGAAACGAAGGATGTGACGTACCAAAAGCATTATCCTATCACCCTAACTACGCACTGTGATCGCTCGATGCATTAAGCCGTTAAAAAGCAAATAACAGACGTGGACATTCGCTTTTGGGCATGTAAGATTTTCGAAAAAAAATATACCGGTTTTTTTAAAGTTCATTAAAAAGTAAATACCCTAATTTTAGTCGATGTTTTTCGACATTTGCCCTAAGCTAGTTCTGAGAATGGATACGAAATGTTACTTTTATCTAAAGGACGAGAAATTTTTAAGTAATTCCCAATTATGGTCTTATGTCACTCCAAGCACTGGAAAGCCAATTTATTTGCAGATACTGAAAACTCTATGTCCCTTAAGCATAATTCTTCTTTTTTACAGTTTTCTCAGCTCGCTCGATATGTTAAATATTCTAATTGCGAATTAAATTTTAATGCGTATTATATATAAATAATTTGAATATATAATTTTGGCGTACGTTATTTTTTTATTTCCATATTTAAACTGTGTAACCCAACACATAAACACGCCTATACGAAGCAAAAAAATAACATAATGTTATTTTTTAACAAACGAAATAGGGAGACAAACAACGTAATTTTAAGGTATAATAAATGACGTTGGGAATTTATTCGATAGTTATTCACATAATGTTTTATTCGAGAGGTGGTATGAATCCATACCGTTAAGTGTCTTTACAGGTCACAACTAAGATGGTATTAATAATTACACTCTAACACCGCTACGTACATATAGAATAAGGCAACAAATAACATGGTCACATTTTACAGTAGTTCACTGTTAATTCTTTCATTTCGACCGTCTGAAACCAACATTGATTTAATTAATATTTGAGAATTCTGTCAAAATCACGAAGAAAACACAACACTTCATCATTACCAAGCTTAAACTAATTAATAATGTTCAAGAAATAATCGCTGTTTACACTGAGTGTACGTGAATACAATACGCAGAGTTAACGATTATTAAAGCAGGTGGTACATATAATTACCATTTGGCGTTAAAGGGTTAACGAAGTCAATGGCACGCACATTTATTTATATTTTCAGTGTAAAATAAAAATAAACTCATAATCATGGCGCCAGAATAATCGATTATACGTTCTACTTCCACGTGGTCATAAACCAGTGCTTCCCTCTAGAAAGACGTAACTTTCAGATAAGATAATATTTCTGCAAAATGAGGGGTCGAAACAGAACAAACGAAGAAAATTTTTCAGTAATAAATTTTTCAATACAATAACTTCATAATAACCACTGTAATTCTCGAAATTTATATAAATATTTTTATAAAAATACAGTGATCACAGATTACGTAACACATTGAGGTCTAAAAGCTTCCTTTAAAAAGCATATTAAACAGGGCTATTTCCAAGCCATTAATATTTTTTCTATACGTATTTACCTATTTAAGAATTATTTAAGCACGTCTGCTTCAATTTCTTTGAAATCCAAAAGTACGCAAGATAATAAACTACGATCGTAATGATGACGTTAAGAAAATTCACTAAAACAGAGTCTCCGCAGAATTCATTTTAAAATATCAAATAACGCTAAGATCATTGCAAATTTTAAATAATTATAAGCTGACATATTCCGGGTGAAAATTCGAAGACCCATATTTATTTATTATTTTACGTTGCTTTCACCAGCTCATACTATATTTTGTGCAATGAAAGTATTACCAGTAAATAATAGAATTAAAAGGATGTGGAAGGAAACGGTAATGGCATAACCTACGGTACTAACGCAATATTTTCCTGGAGAGTCTGAGGAAAACCAAAAAACATCAGTCACGATAGCCTGAGGGCCGATATTTGAATCCGGAATCAGTTCGAAGCATTATAGCCGCGAAGTCCGGTTTCAAAGTCAGGGTACTGAAGGTAATAGTCAAAGACGTTACAGAGATCAGACAGGCTAACGATACCCCCTGGTCCGAGATTACTAACAAGCGGAGCCAAAGAAGCAAAGTATTAAGTAATACGTAAAGGTATATATTTTTCGTTACGTAGTAATGTTATACGTGATACTTCAATCTATAACAAGGGATAAAGTTTCCACAGACGACTAAATTTCGGTGAAATTCTGCAAATTTTTTGTATGAAAGATCAATTGAAATTTTATGATCGCTAACTTTTGGTGTTATTTTACGTAGGAATTAAACTTGATCT